TTGCCTGTATATGATTCAAGAACCCTTCGGAAATAATTGGACGCATCGGTGGGATTCTTTTCGTTGCTTTTCGAGTAACGCATACATTACATTCATTAACGGTGTCTTCTACTAGCTGCTGAGGAATATAACAATACCGAACACGGATCTAATTATAAAATAAAAAAATTTTTTAATTTTTTAATTTATATAATTTTTTTTTTTTTTTATAAGCAATACCTTTCGCCAGGTCTTCTCTTGACCTCCATGTTCAGTTGCTTGATGAGCACCGCAAATGATTTCGTAGAAATTTTCAACCACGCACACTTGGGTTCCAAGATTATATCTGCCTTGTTTACGTATGTGAAGTTCTTCTATAGTACCAACGTGAAGAACTTTAAAAGTATTAATTGCCCAATGTTTAAGCGTCGGGTTACACTGAATATCTGGATTTTTTAAAATGTTTAGACATTCATTGTATCGTGCTCTGTCCATCAAGCTTCGTTTATTTTTCCTTTGATTTGTATAAGCTTCAAATATTCGATCGAAGGTCTCACGGGTTAGAAAAGAATAACTTTGTGGATTCATTATTTATGAAGAAAAAAAGATGTACAATTATTAACGAAGAAAAAAAGATGTATAATTATTAACAAAGAAAATTATAAGTACAGTATAATAAAAACTTCTTAAAAAAAAACCATTTTTTAAAATTTTATTTATTCATCATCGTTCGTATCAATATAATACATAATAAGTTTGTCATTACATTAAGAACTGTCATTACAAAAGCTATCGTTGATTATAATATGATCTGCATTAAGAATTGACCTGCGTCGTTTATCAATCGGTGAAAATTGAAAAACGACAGGCGTCAATTAATAATCGACGCAAATTGAAAAATGACGCATAACATATATACCAGTATATATAAAAATAGGAAATTAAGATTTCATTATAGTGAACTCTCGATAAAGTGAAAATCTTGATATAGTAAAGATCTTGATATAGTAATAAAGATCTTAATATAGTTAAGATCTTGAAATTCTAAAAAAATTTTTTAAATTTATTGCTATTGGTTTTTTTTTTAATTGTTGTATATAGATCCTTTTTTTTAACAAAATTATAAATTTTGAAGATTTTTAAATATTTATTAAGGTTAATATAAGAAAATTAAAATAATTCCTCTGGGAGAAAACTAGTTCGACTGTTTTTGTTATTAAATTATAGCATCTAATAAGTAAAATATTTTAAAGATAAATTTATTATTAAAAATATGAAGGTGCAGATATATAAAGTTATTCTAATTTCCTAAATTTAAAATGAATTTTCAGCAACATTTCAATCATCACTTTTAATTAGAAAAATAGAATAATCCATGAAGTGCAATAACAAATACATATTATTTTAATAAAAAAATTTTCAAATAAAATTTTAGAGTTAGTATTTTGCCGTTAAAAGATATTAGTTATACCAAAATTTTGCAAGAAAATTTTTTAATTAGTGCGCAGAAGATAGTTAAATAGATTAAATTTAGAGTTATGAGCGATTTTATGTTGTTTTTATTTTTTGTTATATTATTACTGATATTGAAATTTAATTGGTGATTTAGCCACTATTATGGTGGGAAGAATTAGGACGCCCTTTGCCAAAAATATTTTTGATGGATTCTATAATCGTAGAACCTATTTTATAGATTGTAATTGTTTTTAAAATGAAAAGTTTTAATTTTTATGAAGACTGAAAAATCTATTGTATTATGACATACCGAAAGTAAAACTATAAATGCTAGCTAAAAGTGTCCAAAGACCTCCGAATGAACCAATGGCACTATAAACCTATTTATGATAACATTTAAAGAATTTTAAAATAAAATTTAATTAAATATATTAGATATGTGATTAAAAAAATAAGAAACCTACTGTATGCAATCTTTTATAGAAAAAAAAAACATAATATTCTTGAATCACATTTCTATACTTTATTATAATTTCATGAATTACTTATGCACGTACCTAATTTCTTTTTGTGTAATTACTACAGAACTTTGCAGATAAATACTCACTTTAGTATTATTTTTAGTAAAATTGGAGGTGTTGACAAATTGCTCTAGTATAATAAATAACATAATCAGTACATAAAATCGTTTATAACAAGTATATTTATTTCCTTACGTAATAGACTAGTAAGATAATAATAATTTTCATGTTGCGGTGGGATTCCGAAAGCACTTGCGATAATCCAACTAGGCTTCATGATTTGAATGAGCGATCGAGAAAATGTAATTTGATATTCCTAGATACAAATAATAGATAGTTTAAGATTTGCTTCATAATCAAATATTATTAAATTTATCAAATAAAATTAACTCACTAGTCCGGGTAATAAAAAATAAAAATTCTGATATGCAAATGATTGTACATATCTATCGTAGTTATTAACTTCGATATTAACTAGATTTAACTCTCTACCCCGAAAAGGATTAAAAACTAAGAAATAACTTAATATATAAATTATACTAAATTTTTTTTAAAATTACTTATAAATTTATAACATACCTTCATCAAACATCGCCACCGCAAGATCAATGTTATTGGAAAAATTTAATGTAATATTAAGCTCTTCAAAATACATATTATTTGAAGCACTGCGAGATAAAACGAAGCCAAGATTTGGTTGATGAAAATTCCAGATATAAGTGTTATTGGTATTACTGTAGCTGTTGTTGTGAACTGTAATAGTGGAATCTCCTTGACAGGCTTTCGATCATTTGCAAGAGTATAAATACATTGGCCTATGCTAAATTCGTTACTGGAAGAAAATACTAAATCTTTTTCAAGGAAGTAAATGAATTTAATTTTAAAAATGAAATAGTAATTTGGAATATTTTTTTATTTATGCATACCTGGAATTGGAATATCATCTTTAGAATCATCATAGGATGTTTGAAGAATGGGACGGTCTGTTATAACATTGTGTATCAATATACCAAAATATACTATCAATAACAACGATGCTACAGAAAATGCTCCATATTTCATTAACGGCATAACTTTTCGATCAGATGACATATAATAATACTTTAAAAATATTCAATATAAAATTGTTTTTATACTAGGAAATCGGAATTTGATAAAAGGTCCAAATCAAATCTCAACAGTTTTTTTGCTGTTTCTATTAAGTGTTACTACACTGACTGCTGTGAAATTCGCATTCACATTTGCTAAAATAGAGTCCTCGGACAATTATAGTAAAGTGGTCCGAAAAACCTGTTCAAAAATTTTTTTTGAAAATTTCTAAATAAACACATGTGTTTGTACACTGGTATAAATAAATAAATAAAAGAAAAAAAAAAAAATTTTTATTAAAAAAAAAAGTAAACTTTTTTAACTTTAGGTTAGGGCGAGACCTAAGATTTTGGCAAGGTTACAGTTATATGCAAAATTTAGCATGGAATTTTTTTTATTAGAACCCCAAACGCGGTTTCATAAAACAATTATTATAAAACACACTAAATAATAATAAGTACAAATCTGTGTAACAAAAACAAAAAAATAAATTTTATAAAACAAAAATCAAATTTTGATTACTTTAGGGTTAGAGCGAGGCCTAGGGTTTCATCTAGACTATTATATGCAAAGTTTAGCAAGAAATTTTTTTAATTAGAGCTGTAAAGACGGTTTTATAGATAAAATAAATAAAAAAGATGTTACACTTGATCTTAAATTTTGATTGGCTATTCTAATAGCTTCGTGTAACAAAATACATGTTACACCTGATTCTAAATTTTGATTGACTTTTCTAATGAGTTCGTGTAACATTTGACAAACACTAGTGTACAATAACAATTCTCTCTTTTTTTTTTTTTTTTTTATATAGACCAATTTGGCTCGGTCTAGGAATGGTAATATATTTTAAAACATGAGATGATTGTGATCAGAATGCATTAAATTCATACATCAGAATATCTGGATCATGTCTTAAAACGGATAAATGTTTTCTTTTACCATCATTAGCTCAGTCCGATCTTTGTTTTGATATGTCAGTTTAGAAAGTCAGAAAAGACTCAACTAAAACTGATTTGTTTCTAAATTTTGCTGTTTAGTTTTTATTAAAGCTCCAAATTTGTTTAACAATGATGCGAAATATTAATGATAAGGTATTACGATTGTCACGGATAGTGATGGGCAAATCGCGGTTTTCCCAAATATCCCGCGCGGGATGCGGTTTACGCGCGTGATGCGGTTTACGCGCGTGATGCGCGGGATAGAGATTACTTTGTGGGTTTCTCAAAATTTTGTTAATACGGGCCAGCTGGCCTGAATTAGGGAACATATTAAAAATCACGCGCATTTTGCGCGCGGATCCTGCGCATGCCCATCACTAGTCACGGAGTAAAAAGTGACATGAAACTGCGCCTTCAGAACAGGATTAGATCATCGTAGGCTTAGGAGGCTCAAGGATCGTTGATGGAACAATTGATGGAACAATCGATGGATGCGGATCGAAGAATACAGTATTCTGAGAGAAGCGAAGATTAATTGAAAAGCCTCTTTAAGTCATAAGATAGCTGAGCTCCCCCCCCTCTGCATATTAGAATTAAAATTATAAAAAAGACGTTACAACAAGAGAGGTGGGTAACGACTCTTATGTGCGAGGTAGGGCACATAAGGTTAATCATAATTATCGAACCACGTATTAAGGCGATCACGTTTATCAAAAGTCCCGGGATTATGATTTTAAATATTATATTTATTAGGAAGTTCGTTATTTCAAAGCCAACCTTTTATAAATATTTGGTAATATAAGATAGGTACTAAGAAATGTAAAAAATGTGGAGAACATCGGCTCCTTACTATCTGATGCTTCTGATTTTGTGTATTGATATCGATATTGTGACATAACGTAACACAAATCTCGACAAGTCCAAAAAAGTAAAGCGATTGAAATCATTATCGTTGTAAAGGGGGAAATTACCACCTCGGGTAATACTGCGGCTCTAGACGTAGTACGAATTCTGAAAATTCTGAAAATCCCAAGAATTCATGGAATAATTGGTATTGTGCATTCAAATGGTACTGTTAGAGATGGGCAAAATGCGCATTTTGCCGATCACCATGCAGTCACCATACAGATGACCATGCACATTATTAATAAGTAAAACATATAATCATGCACAAAGTGAATCTTCATGGTGACTGCATGGTGATCGGCAAAACGTGCATTTTGCCCATCTCTAGGTACTGTACATAAAATCTGCAAATATGAGTGATGCGAATGGAATACGTAATTTAAGCTTATGTTTATCTATTTGGAACAGGAGTAGGGATGGGCAAATCGCGAATTTTTAGAATTTTCTGCGCAGGCTGCGCAGCCTGCGCATGAAATTCAAAAAAATTTTCAGCTGCCGCTTCACGGCAGATTCTCGATTTTGATTTGATAAAGGCTATGATCGACAAATTTTGGCTCACGTTACATAAATTATGTAATTTTCGGCCGGAATTGACTTTTTTTTTTTATTCAAAAATAGGGATCGTCTAAAGCATTGTACCCATGTGACTTTTTTGTGTCGATCGACCAATCAAAATTGTGAAATTTTGTTTATACGACAAAGTAAAAAATGAACCAAAACATCAAAAATATCAAAAACAGTAGTCAAAACCTGTCTTGGGGTATTAATAAAAAATGTCGGGAAGGCAATTTTACTATATATAAGTTCCATCTCTAACCCTAACCCTAATATTAAACTCACCCTAACCCTAAAATTTAATTAAATGGCAAAAGTCACGTGGGTACAATGCTTTAGCCATCCCCCAAAAAATAGAAATTAGGCCTGCTCTATGTAAAATTAACTCAGAAATAATTTTCACTTAATGCGTAACTGTGATTAATTAGTAAAATTTGAGTAATTTTAACCTATTGTCGCTCTTAGTAAATTACAAAAATCGGTTGTAACAATTTTGATAGACAGCTAGGTATATAGAAAATATTTTAAGATATCTTACTCATAAAAATACTATAAAATTATTTAGAATATTTAGGCCGTTCAAAGTTGATTATTAGTTTAACGTCAATATTTTTGGCTCAGGCACGAGGGGGGAGGGGGGAAATTTAAACAAACACATATATTCCAAGAATATTTGATCAAATCATCAAATCTCATTGGTCAACCTTAATCACATGATTAATGAAGTTTATGCTGTGTTGTGATTGGCTTGTTTAATTTTCAGGGGGATAGCTAATCGGGAGGGGGGGATGACGTTAAACTAACAATCAACTTTAAACGGCCTTATAATTGTACACGGGGTGTTTGAAACACGGGTTTAATTCTTTTTATAAAAAACAATTTTTTATAAGAAAAAAAAAAGAAAATTTATTTACTTTAGGGTTAGGGCGAGGTCTGGGATTTTATCTAGACATTAGTATATGCAAAATTTAGCGAGGAATTTTTTTTATTAGAGCCCCAAAGGTGGTTTCTTAGAGATATTATTTTAAAAAATTATTTGTTATTTACATGTTACACCTGATCTTAAATTTTGATTGGCTTATCTAATACTTTTGTGTTACCTAGTGTACAAACACCCGTGTACAAATAGTAATTGTCAATTATTTATATTCAAAATTGTATTTATCAATTGTAGTTATTTCGATATAAATATAAAAAATATCAAGCCCGCATTATGCAAGCTGGCCAGAATTATGCTGGCCGGCCCGAGTTATAAAAATTACACTGCGCAGTCTCTCAAAAATTTCTGCGCAGTAAAATAATGCGCAGCCTGCGCAGTGGCCCATCCCTACTCATAGTAAACAACTCTAAACGTATAAAACTGTGCCAATTTTTTTTCAACACTTTGGCAAAGAACTATCCGACCAAATTCGATAAATAGGTTTTTTATTAAAATTGCTAAGAAACTGTAGAATTATAATAAAAAAATTTTCATCGAATTTGGTTAAGTAGCCTTTGCTCAAAGGTTTAAAAAAAAAAATTTCGCAGCTTAATTTTACAAAAAATATAAAATGCACCTATTGTAATTATTTTAATTTGTATAATCGGCTATATTAGGCTGACGTGACGGCATAAAGCCTCTAGTGGCTGTGGCTTAGAGTGTCACTAACATGGTGAAGTGTCAAAGCGACACGATGTAGTGTCATGATGACACGGAAACGTGTCCTCTAATTAATTGAATGTATAAAAACACAGGCAATACCAGTTAATAAAAAATCAGATCAAATGAATCAGAAGAACTGATGAAGTTCATATCCTTCTAATAAAAATAATAAATGGCCTTTTCTTGATTCCCAACTATCATTGAACTCACGTCCCACATTGTTAATGATCTTAAATTTTGATTGACTATTCTAATAGCTTTGTGTGACATGTTGTTCAACACCTATGGTGCATTTTAGTTATCATAATTTTAATAGACATTTTGAATTGTTTATAAACTTTGAGCAAAGATATCTTAATGTTTGAATTAATCAAATAGTTGTCAAGATATCTTCGTTCAAAGTTTTAAAAAATTTGGCGTGACTTCGATTTGTTATAAATATTTAAGAATTTTGCAAAGATAACTCAACAACTACCTGGTCAAATTCGATAAAAATCTTTTTATTTGAATTCTACGAATCTGTAGAATTAAAATAAAAAAAAATTTTATCGAATTTGGTCAGGTATGCATCGAGATATCTTTGCTCAAAGTTTTAGTTTTATCAAAAGATTTACTTAGATATGCGTGAAATTTTATTGGTCAAAATGTAGTACAAACAGAAATTTTTCTGGGTATTTTGGTACAATATAAAGATAGTACTAAAAAGGTAAAAAATGTGGAAAACATCGGTCTGTCTCTGCGCCTTACTATCTGATGCACAATGATGTGATACATAATCACAAATATCGATGAGTTCAAAAAAGTAAAGCGATTGAAATCATTGTCGTGCAACACGAAAATAGTAATGGCGGAGGCTGTGTTAGGAAGTGAATTCAGAAGATACTTCGAATTCATAAGAGAGCTGAAGCAATGATTAGTAATCAAGAAAGATAAAGATGAGACGGGATGAAAAATAGGAAAATTAATGAAAAGGTTTTAAAGTGTTATTATGAAAAGGTTTTAAAGTGTTATGAATTCCTTGTTCTTCGTTTGTGAAATAAATTAGATTGAAAGTGGTGGAAAGTTTTTGTAAATTATAAGAGCGAAAAATGCAATTAAGAATAATCATCTCGACTTCGGCTTAGCAATAACTCAAAAAAGAGTCCTCTTTCTTACCTTAAATTATCCTAAAAGTTCCTTTTGTGTTCTCTTGCTTCTAAATCTTGCCGAAATCGTACGTCTCGAGTAGAGCTGCCTTGTATTTTTTTTTTTTTGTTCATAAGGTTGTGTGAACTCTCATAAAGTTGGGGACATAGTTGCATAATGTCTTCTTTAACAGATATATACTTTGCGTGAACTTCAAACTCGTCTTTAGAAGTTTACATTATAATTATTTTATTTATAACAATTTATTTATAATTCCAAAGACAGATACGTTACCTCATAGTGCCATGTTTACAATTATTAACTTAAAATTAGTTCAGCGTAAATCGAACTGGTTTTTATTGCTAAAAATATTTTAATAGCATGTTTTATTGATGCTTTATAGTAGGTTTTTTCGACGATTTTACAGACTCAAATTTCAATTTACTTATTTGGAAATTTAACTAAGAAATTAAACCTTAGAAAAGAAGAACCAAATAAAAAAGTAGAAGAAATGGAATCTTGTTATAACTAATTATTAATAAAAAATACACCTTGAGATAATAAAATAAACCCATATAAAAATTTATAACATTTAAGGACTCCCCCTTTTATTCATTTTTTAACCACACAATGACTGTTTCCTTGTATCTTGTTAAATTCCAAGCATTTTAAACTAGGTCTGCCCTCATGTATAATTCTATCGTTTAAATAGGAGATAACCAGGAAATCACTTCCAGTCTTATTGAAGTCGTCGTTTAAAATATTAACGAGATCTTCTTTACGACTCACGAAAAGGTATTTCTTACACTGAGCAGAGTAGGATTCCCCTGGCAAATGCTTTAAAAGATTTAAGATCTTTGACATCAATATATTTTCGTTCAAGCCGATAAGGGCAAGGTTTCGTATCAATCTATGAACAATTGTTGAGTAATGTTGACTTGTAGAAATCAAGTTGAGAAACTGTTCAATTTGATTTAACATTGCTTCTAAGTCTTCTATATTGAACTCATAAGATTTACTTGAAAGACGATTAATGTTGAAGAGTTTATAGCAGTTAAATAGATAACTTTTGGGAAGGCAAAAATCGGAATGTATTGATCTAATCACAATAATAAGGGTTGTGGTGAACTCCATGAGAGACATAAGATCGTCGAATGCGTCTAAAGAATTCAATTTAACCGATTTAACATTTTTTAACGTATAATTGATAAACTCTAATATGTTGTTGAAGGTAATAGTGTTTTCGGAATATAATGACATAATAAATGATAGAAGTTTCGTCCCAATCGCTTCAGAATTACGTTTAATTTCAGAGAATTTCTCCTTAATTTCTTCAGAGTTACATTTGATTTCTTTGATTTTTATCTCAATTGCTTCAGAATTATATTGGAATTCTAAGACTTTCTTCCCTATCTCTTCTACCATTTCAGAATTGCATTTGATTTCTGTGACTTTTTCGGAATTTATTTTAGCCCCAATCGATTCAGAATTGCGTTGAATTTTTAGAACTTGCTCTCCAATCACTTCAGAATTGCATTCAAAATTTGTAACTTCCTCCTTGACCGCTTCAGAATTGAGTTTAATTTTTGTGACTTTATCATGGAATTTCTTATTTTCATAATATAGTGGCAAGATGAATGATAAAAGTTTTTCTTCCGAGATTCTTTCACTAATCTTTTCAGAATTGCATTTAATCTCTAAAACTTTCTTTACAATCTCTCTAGAATTGCATTTAATTTCGTTGACTTTTTTCCCAACTGCATCAGAATATCGTTGGCTTTCTAGGATTTTTTCTCCAAACATTTCAGAGGATTTTGGGACTTTCGCCCCGGCCTTCTCATAATTGCATTTTATTTGTGAGACTTTCTCACTAATAAATTCAGAATTGCATTTAATTTCAGAAACTTTTTCTTGAATCGCTTCGAAAACACATTTAACCTTCTCTTCAATAGTTTTAGAATCGTGTATTATTTTTGTGATTTTCTCCACAATTACTCCAGAATTACATTTAATTTTTGTAACTTTATCACGGAACTTCTCTAACAATCTTGTCCTTCGAAACTGCATAGAAATTAATAGGTATTTAAATATGATTTCAAAGTCGTTTACATTAATAAGATCGATGAATCCATTAGAAACATCGTCAATAATATCGGAAATCACTACATCAGTTATCTTTTGGCGCTGGTACTGATAGCAAAAATGATTTCTAAACAAATTTTCCGCCCAAAATCTTTGCAAATTATTAAACTCTTTAAACTCATCAAAAAATCTTTGAAAAACTTTAAACTTTTCAAACTCTTTTTTTGTCTCGTATAATTGATGAAATATCGTGTACTGAAGAGAAGCAAGTTTCAGACGATTGGATAAAATTAACGGAGCTGATTTCACGTGATGTTCTTGACAATCCTTTATTTGACATTTACCAGAGGATGAAAACTCACTACATATTTTAAAAGCTATATCCGAAACCCTCCTGCTATCCATGTTGGCCCTCAAAATGAGCTCTTTAATATATGAAGAAAGAAATTTTGTGATAGCACGGTAAATAATATTCTTTTTAATTTGCCAATATCCATCAATTACCTTCTCTTTTTTCACATTCATTTCATTTATAATACGAGTAAGAGGATTGTTAAAGGAAATTTGTCGGTTATTCAAACTATTCTTCGTAGTGTTTACAACAAAAATTTTTTCGAAATCCTTGTGAATTTTCTCATAGTCTTTTCGATAATTTGTAATTTTTCCCTCTTTTTTTTCATTCATTTTTTCTATAATACGAGCGAAAGAATGGTTAGGCCTGTTTGGCTGTCGTTGATTTAAAAGTTTTTCGAAATCGTCTGTTTTCTCTTCATTGTCATAGATAGACATAAAAGGAATTGCCATTTCGCATATCCTCCTTAGATGTTCCAACCAATATTTGACGTGGCTACCTGTTTGTGTGAGTTTCAGCCAGATATTGATTGCGCGAAACTCGGCGATGAAATCTCCACAATTCTTAAAAAATTCAATACATTCATATATTTGATCAAGGTCATTATTTAAATAAGCTTTGTATAGTTGGAGTTCTTTTATCAAATTCTCCATTTTTCTCAATGTGCCTGGTTGTAATGTTGCTTCTTCGACAACAATATCTGCCTTATTAATGAATCTTTTAAAGTTTATATCTATTATCGCATTGAGTGCATATGTTCTGCATGGTTGCAAAAGGCATTGCAATGATTTGGTTAAAGTATCATAGTCTTTTACCGTTTGGATGAACATATTAGCAGCTTTTTCGAATTCTCCGCATAAACACAGTTCTTCGGCCTCCTTAATTTCTTCTGGAACATATGCCAACATGAGATTATTTCGCTCATCCTGAGTTTCAAGAATGGAAAGGATACTTTCGCTCATAACTTCGTTCTCTTTTTGGCGGTAATTAAAGTATAAAATATGGACAATTTTGTCAAATATCTTACGGTCAATTTCTAGCTTTTTTCTTGATACAATAATAATATGCGAAAGTTAGAAAGTTTTTAAAATAAATTGACAACTTAGATTTGCAACAATGGTTTACTTTACCTTTCCAACAAACTAATTACAGTATCATAAAGTTCACCATCTTTATAGGCGAGAACAGCATCTGTGTATTTATTTGCCTCTTCAAAACACTTACCCGCCTTCTGCCAGATCTTGGCTTTAAGATAGCTACGTGCTGCAAGTTCGTATTTTTTCTGTTTAATATAAATATCGCTAGCTTCATTATACATGCCACAACCCTTTATTACAAATTAATTAAATATCAGAAACAGACAAGAATTAAAACTCAATTCCTTATTATTCCTATCAATGCTAATCTTAAACCATAAATAATTTCAACAATTTCCTTTACCTCATAACATGAAGCTTCCTGAATGGGATTTGAGCACTGATTGAAAGCCCGAGCTGCATTAATGAAATTTTCCTTTATGGTGGCATTATCTGAACAGCTTACGGAGGTTCTGGCGATCTGTTTAAGACGATATGCATTTGCTATATCAAGAAGTTCTTTATCACCACTTTTCTTAAAGCAGAAAATAGCCTAGAGTAGTTTCATTTAATTTAGCAAATTTTAATTACATAATATAAAATATTTCGAAAATAATTTTCACCTTGTTGTATTTCTCTTTTTCAAAAAATTCTTCACCTTGTTGTTTCCATTCCTCAACGCTACTTTCCTTAGCAAAGTTGACAATTTCATCCGCATTTTTGCTTATTCTAATCAGTTTTTTTTGCTCCCAATATGCACAGATTGGATCGCTATACTCGACATTTTCATCGAATATGATGATACGCTGCCGAGCCCTGGTCACTGAAACATATAGTTGTTTGAGTTCAGAGGAAAGAATACAATACTTTTCGTGAGAGAAAGCAGGAGTTCCTTTTTCATTGTTTTCTAAAATGGAGTGAATAACTCTCCACTTAAATGGAGATACATGAAAACAATATTTAGTAAATCACTTACTGTGTATAATAGTTCAATATGAAGTACATAATATTATACCTTTTTATGTGCTGGTGAATCAGTAAAGAAATTATATAACAGCACATCGTTATATTCCATTCCTTTACAATCAAACACTGTTTCCACCATTCCAGCATCCCCAATTAGATCCACCACATTCTGTTTAGTTTTTTCGTCACGTACTATAATCATCTGCTTTGCTCCAAATTCAATATGATTTGTTGTATGCTTTTTCTCTTTATCCACAGAAAATCTATTTAATAATTCTTCGGCCGGAACCTCGCTAAAAACAACAGGTTTTGGGCCGCCAACCTCACTACGCTCGCATGATAATTTATCAATCGAATCAGGGAAAAAGTGCCAGATGAGATCAATTACTGACGAGGCGAGTTGAAGGATTCCATTATGGGAACGATAGTTAATATTCAACTCGAACTGTTTAGGTTTTCTGGTTCCACGCAGATTATAATTTGTCAGAGGCCGTTGAAGTTCCCAAAAGTACATTAAGGAACGTAGGTCTAAATTTAAAAAATTTAAGTATTTATAATAGCGAGAGATTATTTCTTATTATTAAAAGACAGGTTACGCATACCTTGGAATCGGAAAGAAGATCCTCGTGCAATGCATTGTGCTACATCTCCAGCAAAAAAAAAGCCATTCGCACTATCGAAGAGTTTCATTATAAGCGCGATATCAACAATTTGATTGTCTTGACATTCATCTATGTATACTTCATGAATATGCGGACAACCAAGCGCGTGTTTTTTGGCAAAATGACAGATAGCTTGTGTTCTAAAGAAAATTTTGAAAAATTTCAAACTCGATACCAGAAACATTAAGAAGTAATCACATATAAATGCTTACAAATTTTGGATCTTACCTATCTATTGAGTCATAATCACCATTTCGCGATTTCAATTTCTCATACTGCTGAAAAAGTTCATAAATTTTTTCACGATCATGACAGAACGTTGGATATTTCTTAGTGCTAATTGCAATATAATCTTCCTTTGATAAGTAGTCTACTTCAGGATGAATGCCCTTAACGTTAAAAACAATTTAGTTTAAAAATAAGTCATTATATAGATACTATGTTTGTTTGTGGTTACAGTACTTACCTTTATAACAGAAAACTCGGAGTAAACCAACTCACAATCCAACTTTTGTCTATACTGATCACTCAAACGAGGCCAATACTTTGTAGTAAAAACCTGATAGTCCACAAAATATCTCAATGATTCAACTTCGTTATAGATAATGGATGAAGAGCAGAACTCGTCTTCATCGTCATATTCATCATTGTCTGTGTTGAATTTTTGTTGCTTAATTAATTTCCGGATATCAATTTTATAAGTTTCCAGGAGCATTTGTGAAAATTGGTCGTAGGTAATGAACAAAGGAAAACAATCATCCGTCAACTGGCGAAATGAAGTAGGAATGTCATCTTGATCTTGTTTCATATAACTCGTTTTTCTATTAGTCATGCTACGAGATGATCGTGTCTTGGATTTTTCATTAACAAGCATCACTGATTCCTTAATCCGATTAAAATATTCCTTTACTTTGTGGCACAAATTTTTACTCACAGTAATAAATATTTGTCTTTTTTGCTGATTAGCCAGGTATGAAGCTATTAACCTAAGCACGATACTTGTAGTTTTTCCTGTCCCTAAATATTCGATATGAAAACAATGTTAACTTGTTTCCCATGCAGTTACCGAGAATAGTTGAAATAACATTTACCGGATCGGCCGATGACGATGGCTGACGTAGGATGATTTATAAATTCGTACTCAATCTTAGATACTTGAAACGTAAAGTCCAAACCACCATTGTTAAGCGACTGGAAAAATTTCTTTTAAAAAAAAAAGTTATTAAAATATACGTAGAAATAGCTTTTTATATAATATTTACAGTATCTACCTTAGATATGGGTGTAAACTTATTTGTAACAAGCATTTTATGAATTTCTATTTGCCTTTCATCGTAACACAGCCCAATATCAGAAGACTTTGTTACCTCCTCGACGTCAAAAATTATAGGTAAATTAATACCTTGGCTAATTTGTCTAGCTGTACACATATTACTGTGCTCAACGGTATAAACCTTATGAGCCATTAGGAGGTTCTTTAATGTTTCGTCAATTTTTTCGGCAACGGCCCATACCTTTATAAGCTGTGTAATTGAATATTTACGTATGGAAAATCCACAGTCGACTTGCCAAAGCATTTTCAAATTATTTTTATTACCAGGGACTTCCACAACGTAGATAGGAATATTATGATGTTGCGTTATGCATTGAAATCTGTATTTGTCCCACCTTCCATAAGATATCTGTTGGAGTCTTTTCATGACTGCATCAATCACAAGAGATTCTAATTGTTGAATGTCTTTTATAGCGTCTTCACTAAGAAGTATGTCCCATGGCCCAAGCTTATCATTATCATCAAATTCGAATGGAAGGCGAAAAAGACATTCAGGCGCATTGGATGCCCCTTCAATTTCTTCAAACTCTTCACCAAGAAGTGAAGAGTATTTGTTAGGACAAAAATCAATAAGTGCATTACGATGACACCTGGGACATGGTAGAGACCTGATTAAATCCTAGATAAAATAGTTGACATTTTGCAAATTAATCCATTGCAATGTTATTAAACCAAAAATTACTAGTGTACGTACTCGAAATGATTCTATCTTCCGTTGTTCAAGAGTTCTCAGGGTTTGGCGCAGATCTGATATCCTCTGAGGAATCTCTATCCCAAACTGCTTAAGAAGTTGTTCGTCTTCAGCAGACAAAGATATCGAATTATTGAAATTTGTAAAAAAATTGCTGGTTGTAAATCTTTCCCTACTATTGAGCCTATCCATTTCGTATAGCACAGGTGGTAATATATTATTATTAGTGGCCAAAAAAGTACGACGTTTTGCATTTTGGCAGTCACTCAAAGATTCTATCAAAGATGAGTAAGCTTTGCTCTCTGATAATTTAGGCATTTCTTCAATATGTTCAGGACATTTTTCTATAAGTGATATAATCACATCCACCATTCTAAGTAATTTATCATTCTTGATCCTGTCTATCATATTATAATTGAATAAAACTCGTTTGAGAAAGCGGCAACTAGATAATTCTGATATTAGAACTCCTAGGACACCATTTATTTCTATGATTGTGCTTAATACGTGTTCTATTGTCTGGATAACATGAGACTTGTCTTTATTCTGTTTAGTCAGCCATATGAGTTCGACACAACTAGAGAGAAGTTCTCTAAAGTCATGAATATCGGAATGATATTGCAAATTCTGCTTTATGACAATCATAATCAATGGCGAGACAAAATTAAGATAATGAGGTTTCAGTGAAGACATTTTACGGATGTAAGATACAAGGGTGTTTAGTGTTGGTATGTAAACATTAGGAGAATTGTGTAAAAGACTTGAAAGTTCGTTAGGAACCGTCTCCATATCTGATTTTGATCCATTTAGGTATTGGTTTAAAAACGTTTTCATGGATTTTTTATCATTATTTCGTGAGGCAAGTTGGAATATATCCATTATTGTTTATTTCTTTTTATTTACTTACACTGCTAACAAAAGTATTGTATTTATTGAAAATAAAAAATAGCGAAGGCATCCAATTACTTTAAAAAAAAGTACGGGAAAAAATGCGTAATAATATTATTTTTGTTAAAAATGGCAGAACCGCACAAGTAATAATGCCCCCGAAAATATGGGTCATAATTTTAACAATCTATAATTTTTTATAATTTTGGGGTTATCCAAAAAAAAAAAAAAAGTTCTTTTAAAAAAAATATAGTATTACCATGACTTTAACAATAATTGATAATAAATTACAGGTGCGCCAGACGAAATTTTTAGAATAGCAAATTTTTTAACTCGTAAAATTTTATTATATTTTTAAAAACATTCTATAATAGAATTGTAACTGAATATTTTATATCTTCATCATGCGCACCATGCATCACATGATGCACTTCATCAACCAATTTAGTTCAGAGTCTTGAACATTTGTATTTAAGTAGGTAGGTTAATGAGCGTTAATATTATGTTATTTACTTGATTTATTATGAGTAAGCGGAAGGAAGTGTTATTTATTATTATTAAGGGAGAGCAGAAAAAGGTGGTTTATTATATGCGAGCGATAAGATGTGTTAATTAGTTTAAACATTGTATTTTACATTTTAACTATCAAGGGTTTCGAACCTTGATCTAGGCTGATCTAGCGTTTCAAACCCAAATCTTCCCACACAGCCTTCAATACTATAGCAGAAATAGTAAAGTCTATCTATATCATAATACCGAAAATTTTCTCATGAGTATTACACTTTTTTTTTATTTCGTCATCCATGCTTGTCATATTTTGCGATGAATACGTCATCTATACTTATATTAGGCTATTAAAAGATTTTAAAAAAACATACCAGTAACTGAGTGAAACGTAGTGTATGATTATGTGGCATTTGAAGTGGTCTCTGTCCACAAAATCTTAAACATTTAAATTTCGCATACAGTGTTAAAGGATTGGCTGTTCTCTGTTAACGCTAAAATCATTACCTGATTGACACTTCTAAGTTTGGTTTATACGCTCCATCGGAAACTTAATAAACAGATTAGTATCGGTTACAAACAAATAATCGATTGAAATCGATTGTATTAAATC